TTATTAACATACCATTTTTTAATACATATTGCACTTATTATTAACATTATCTTTTACATACTGTCTTACTGTCTATCTTAATATAATGGATTCTTATATTCTAATTTCAAACATCTAAATACTTCCATTGCTTAAACGTTTCATTAACAATACACGTTTCATCTTTTGATGTCTAAACTTATCTACTGCCTTTTGTTCAGACTTCTCTGTTTCTTTGGAAGCTTCGATTGTCTCCTTTGTAATATAAACTTATTCCTAATTTCAATTCAATGATTAATTAATTAAGCGTTCTCCATCACTCGTTCGTTGCTGAAAGTGCACAAATAAGAATATTACCCATCTCCGCAATAAGTTTATCAGTAACCGAGCGAATTTTTATTACTTTTACGAGAAAACCTTCCCTCGGTCATAGAAAAGTATCGCTCGAGCGATGTGTCAATTTCCTTTTACCTTCGGCTTGTATCATTCGCGTAAGTGATCCTGGAGTTTTAGAACGACTGAAAGACAAATAACGGCGTTTCCTAGTATTACGCCGAGCAAAATTGGTGGAAAATGGAATTACCGGGCAACGAGAGTCCGTGTAACGATGAAATATACTCGGCATATCGCTGCCTGTCATGTTTATTCTCGCGATAGATCTCGCGGCGGTTAGTTTGACAGAATTTTCGCGCCAGCTGTCGATCGGGTCGAAAAATCAGTATGAAAAGTATGCACGAAAATAATTACGATTCGTGCAAGAGCAAACGGAAGTTGGGTAAATCGTTTTAACGTTATAATTACACATTTTCTGTCGCTTTCATTCATCTACGATGTGTTTCGTTTAAAGGGGGATGTTTTAATATGATACAATTATCAAAGTTTTTATAAAAGTTATTTAGTTCACAAGCAAATTATGCGGTGTAAATAATAATTTTGTAATTACAATAGTGGAAGAGATTTACCAAACAAATTAATTTTGTTAAATGAGACTTTTTTATACTTAAAAAAAAAATGTTTATTGAATCTCCTGTATATTGAATACTCCTGTACAACTTGCCCCTTTGTGCCAAATAAATTTTGTTAAAACATATTTTTCGTAGCATCATAGAGATATTTAACCATTTCGATATAAACGAAACGCATTGTATATATCGTAGCAGGTTATCGATCAACTTTCATGCAATCCTTGAAGAGATCGGTGCGCGTGTATTGCGAAAATACAGGACTGCACGGATTTCGCTACATCGTAAAGAGCAAAACGTTAATGGATAAAATAGTATGGTTCACGGTGGGTCGGTGGTGTTTGCATTAATTTTGTTTATCGTTCATATTTTGTCTGTATCACACAATATTAACACTTCGTTTACAGATTTGCACGTCGTCCATCGCTTTTTGCGTTGTTTTGATGTTTCGTTTGTGGATAAACTTCTCGAGTAATCCAACGATGACGATGATCGACACCTCGAATCCCATAAAGGATTTACAATTTCCGGGCATCACTATATGCAATAACAACAAGGTTTACAAACCTCATGCCGATGTCATCGCGCAGAAATTGTAAGCGACGATCACTGTACAGAGTCTGGCATCTTCGCCACCTTAAATAACTTTTAAACCTGTCGTTGATACGAAATTTCTTCACGCTTAATAATTTTCACAGTTTGCAATTTTCACAACTTACAACTTACATTCTCTACAATTTTAGAAGTTAGTTTAAATGTTACTTGTTTACGTTAGATGCTTCGCCCTGTAAAGCATTACAATGCTTTCGACGTAAAAAATAATTAATTTAAATGGTCCTTTAAAGTGGTTTCAATAAATACTAAATAACTCATCTTTCGGCGTTTCAAAAATTATTATGGTAAATTACAATGGTTCGCGAATTCGATCATAACGGAGCAGGTTCAGAAAGCTAGGATTCACCGAACGAATTCATCTACGTGCCAACCACAATTCCAGCAATCATTTGACAATAATGACAGTAATAATAATCCCAGGCTGCTCGTATGCGTAACATAGAAATTACAGCCCGCAGCGTGTGCCTCACAGAAACCATTTCCTGGGATAGGTTGCTGAATGGATTCGATACCGACATGAGCAATAGGCTGTTCTTTTCCTTGATGAAATTAATACTGCCGGACAAAATTGAGATCGATAACGCAACTGCGTCGTGGGCCCTCGATACTCTTGGTTACACTGTCGAGAAGCTCATGTTTGAGGTGAAAAATGTTTTTCCACTTTATTCTTATACCCCCTCAACCTATTCACGTAACCGAAGAACGAACCATCACTTTTCTTTTTCCTGTTGCAGTTGATGCAACCTTGCAGTTCGCTATTGGTGAGATGCGTCTGGCTAGGTCAACTTTACGATTGCAATAAAATTTTCAAAACCGTGAAGGCGAACGAAGGATTCTGTTGCGGATTTAATTACCATTTCGGACTTTCTGAAAACTACGAGTAATTTCGAAACGTATTAATATTCAATAAATATTCTATTTTCGATACTACTTTAAATTCAGCATTCTTGACATTTCTTCACCAACAACGTTACTTGTCAACCGCTGATATTTTTCGCAGTGAAAACCTCGCAAATAATGCTGCCTTTATTCTTGTATCGAATTATAAATGTAAAAGTATTCGAGCCTGTTTCTGTAATAATTCTCTTAATTTAATCAATTAATTTATTAATGAATAAATTCTAATTTTGTAAAATGTCTTTAGAGCCAAATATTCGCAATCAGCGACCGTAATGACGACCGAGGAAGATTTTGAATCGTACAATTCCTCCGATCCTCTGCCAGGTGTTGGACAAATTCTGGTAATTAAGATAATTTCTCTGCTTTATTCAGAAGCCGACGGATTGGTCACCCGTTTCGTTAACGGTTTACGTCGGGGGTTCGCGTTGCGACGCAATTTTTTAGAATGTTCCAGGGTCTGGTCGAGATATCGGTTTATCAGTCGCGCTGAATATCGACGCGAAAAACTATAAAAGCTCGGTGAGGCAGTTCGTGGGTGCCACTGTGCTGACACACGATCCACTAGATTATCCGGATGTCGGTGCGCAATCCTCTACCGTGCTGCCGGGCCATTCGATGTCGATGACACTCGCTGGAACGAAAATCGAAAGCGCGGAGGATATTCGCAATATACCGTTGCGCAAGAGGATGTGTTTATTCGACGGCGAGGTACCCGTGACAAGCATAATTACACTTTTCCATGTACGATTCTGTAACGTTCGATCGTTGATGTTAGGATGTTGGGATTGCAAAGAGGAAAGTACTAAAAATATTTTTCATTTATTTTGTTAAAAGTGATATTCAATCTTTAAAATATGTTTAGAAATTTTTCTTGACGACGCTAGATGTCTAATATAAATATTTCGTACGTGTATTAAATACACAGGATGT